TTAATTTAGACGCACCTTACTCACTAATTAAATTTTTACTTTAAACAAAAAATTCTTAATAAAATAAATCGCATAGGCAGCTTAATATTTTAATCTAGGGCTATATTTTTTATCTTTTAATAAAATTTTCTTTTTTAGTCTTAAAAACTTAAAAAATTTTTAAATGAACACATCATTTTGCTTGGTTTTTATCCCTCAAGATATTTAAGCCAAAAAATTTATTTATAATTGTCAAATAAAATTTAAAAATTACGAAAGGTTTAAATCTAAACTTTAAAGAAGTGTCAAATTTTTCAAAGAAGCAGCTATGCTTGAAATTCCTTTATTTCCAATTTTATTTTATCTTTCAAAATAAGAATAAATTAAGAAGTAAAATACTCTAAACAAGTTAAAAATAAATAACTAAAAACTATAAAAATTATTAAAAAAATGTATTTCTTTATTAATTTATTTACCTAAGATCTAGAGACAATTATGATAAATTCTTACAGTTTATTAAAGCAGAGCTAAATAATGAAATTCCTTTATCACAAATATTATAAAAACTGATTTATAAATATAAAAAGTATTTATTTAACTATATTTTAAAAAAATAATTATATTTATTTACCTTATATCTAAATCAAAAGAAGATAATTTTTAACATTTAGATATTCCTTAGCATAAGGAAGTAGCTCCTTAAGAATCTATGAAATTATAGCTTTTATTATTTTGTTTATATATTTAAAATTGTTAATTAGTTAATAAAGAATAGATTTCTTGCCAAGTTATTAATACATAAAATTTTCTAAATTATTTTTTAATAATATTACCTTATTTTAAGAATTAAGGAAATAAGACATTCACAATTACCAAGCGATAAACCTAAACCAGAAGCTCCATTTGAATCTATATTATTTGAGCTTATAAATTTATAATTCGATTAAATATTTAATTTATTTCATTAAAAATTAAATAACATCAATCATAATTAGAATATAATAATTATTTAATAATTTAAATATTTTTAATTACATTAAATTTAGGATTAAATTCTTTAAACTTTAATATTTAGATAAAGCAATTCCAATATCTAAAGCATTTTAAGAACTAAGATTGTTGTTTCTTTAATAATTATTAAATTTTAAAAATTTTATAACTAAAAAGTTTATGTATTATTCTTAAATAGCATTAATTAGCAATAAATAAAATTTAATTGATAATAATAAATGATCTGCTTTTCTTAAAAATAGAAAATGAAAATAAAAAATAATATTTTTGCAATTCATAACTATAAAAAATTCAGCAAGTTTATCCTAAAATAAAAGATTTTTAAATAAAATCCTAAAAAATCAATTTCTTTTTTATAATAAATAGAGCATAAAATATTTTTGTTTACGCAAGCTCAAGCTGAATATTTTAAAGTGTTTGGCAATTAGACAAAAGAAAAAATAGCTCAGCAAATTCTTTACCGTTTAAACTATTATTTCTAGTAAAATTAAAATAATCAATTGTAATAATTAAAATAAATAATTTACGATAAATTTAATTTTAAATTTTAAATATTTTTGCATTTTATCAAAGACATTCCAACAAAATATGCATCTTAACTTTTCATCTTATTTTGGCTTAAAAAATATAAAAAAATTGCAATAGATTTTTTTTAAAGATAATAAAATTAATTTTTATGAGTAAATAAATAAATAAATTAATTAATTTATTATCACCTTAAATCCAAATTTAAATTTAAGAGATTGGTGCATAGAGAAAGAGCAGATGCTAATTATTGAACTCTTTCTTATTATATATTATCTGATCTTAATTATAAATAAATGAAAATTTAATTATTGAATGAAATTTATTTGTTTTAAGATCTACCTGAGTTACAATTCTAAATTCTTTAGCATTTAAAAATCAGCTATAATAAACTATTGTATAAAATTAATTAAATTATATGTTTAAATATAAAATAAATAATCTACTTGTTCAAGCAGGTTAAAATAGAATAAATCCATTTATATAAGTTGGTTTCTTGTTATTTTTTATTTATTTTATTTTTAATAGGTTTGACTGTTTTAATCGAAGATATTAAATAAATTTTAGTAAATTTATTAATTAACATTATTTTATTACAAGACATAAATAATTTGATTAAGATAAATTATTTAAAAAAATGTTTAGAGATCGTTTTATTTTCTCCATTTATATTTTATAAATATTAATTTCAATAAAAAATTTAAAAATTATTTATCCACTCGCTTATTTTATGCCTTAAACAAATAAGACATTTAAAAATACCTAAACTACTTTTAAGAATTAAATATTATTAATTTATAAATATGATAATTAATACCTTATTTTTTATATTATTTTTTAAATAAATTTATAAAGTAATATGGTAAAGGTTCATATATTAAGGCCACAATATATAAAAGCCAGCTTTTAAAAATTTGAAACTAAGACAAACAGAAAAGGGTTTACAAGAAGGTAAGACAAAGTTCATTATATTCAAGCAATTACGGTGATAGTAGCTATTTATTTATCGAATAGATATTTTAATTTATTATTTGATCTCATTTAGATTTATTTGTTCTTTTTATTATAAATAATAATTTTTGATTTCAATAAAAGCTAATGTCTTAATTAATATCTTTATAATTAATTAATTTTTATAAAATTTGTTATTCAAAACTTTTGAGAAAAAATAAGAAATGATATTAAAGAAAACAAAATTTATAGAACTAAAAGATGTAATTATTTATTTATATTATTTATACTTAAAATTTATTTTTAATATTAAAAAGTTTTTAAATTCTTCACCATCATCTCATTCATATCTGGATATTGATTTAAGGTAAATTAAATGAATTATTGACAAATATATTATTTAAATCTTTATCTTAAATCCTAAATTATTATTATTAAAATTTAATCATTATATTTTCATAATTTTTTAAAATTTAAATTATTGATTTTTATTTTCAATTTTTCTATGTCATTTTTTTTCGCATTTTTATTTTTCCTTTTAAATATTGATTTTTTTCTTTTTTATTCTTCATTTTTTATTTTTATTTATTTTTTTTCAAATATTTTAAGCTACAGTAATATCAGTGAATAGGATGTATCAGCATTAGGTTTGGCTTTATTAAATTACACTAATCTTTCAAATTTGGTACTTTAACTCGTGTAAAAACTGTTTAAATTTTTTTGTGTGATATTAAATAATTTAAAAAATAAAACTTTACCTATTTCCTTTAAATTTAAAAAGTTTGTAGATTTTTATTATGCTTTTTTCTCTTCCTAGCTTAAGCATATTTTTTTATTTTTTATTTTTTCATATGTTTTCTTCATTTTAAAATTCTAATTATATTTTTTAAATAATATATAAGCTATAATTAAATTGGTCCACATGGTGCATAAACCATAGGCATTGCTCTAGCAAAATGTACTAGCCTTTCAAATTTGGAACTTTATCTAGAGTAAAAAATTGTTTATTTTTGACTATTATATTATTTTAAATGAAAATATTTTTTTAAATAAATTTATTTAATGTTTTTAATATTAATAATTATTACTTCTCAATTTTGTTAAATTTGTTTATTATTAACTTTTACTTTTCAATCAATTTACACATTTTTACATTTTTTTCATTTACTAATAAATCTTCTTTACTAAGACGAAATTAAATTGGTGATGAGGGCACACTACACTTATGCTCAGCTCTAGCAAACTGCAGTAATCTCTTAAAACTGAAACTCTCTCTTGAGTAAAAATAATTTACTAATTTTAATAATGAAACTTTATTTATAATAAATTAAATTTATTTATTTATTAGATTTTTGTAAATTTACTTGTTATTGATTTTAATTGTATTTATTTGTTAAGTTTATTTATTTCTTTGGTTTTTAGCATTAGTTAGTCATCCATTTCTTATTTTTTCCTCATATAAAATTTTTTTTAATATAAAAAAAGTGAAAATGAAATTGTTGGTGAAGGTTTATCAGGTTTATGCTCGGTTCTTGCAAACAACACTAATCTGTTAAATTTGGAACTCTCTCTAGAGTAAATTTAGCTAATTTAATTTTGATTACAATTTTTTTTAATATAATTTAAAACAATAAAGTTTTTCTTATTAATTTATTAAATTTTTGTTGATTTATTTGTATTTAATTTTATTTTTATTTATTTAATTTATTTTCAGTTTCACAATTTCTTATTTTTTCCTTCTAGTAAATTATATTTTGTTTAATATATAAAAAGTGAAAATTAAATTGTTGATTAAGGTTTATCATACTTATGCTCAGCTCTAGCAAACTGTACTAAACTTTTAAAGTTATAACTCTCTCTTAAGTAAAAATTAGTTAATTTATTTTTGAAAACAATTTTTGTTAGTTTATTTATTTTTGATTTAAATAATTATTTTTTAGTTTTTAACTTAATTCTTTTTGTACTTTTAAGCTTTAATTTATTTTTCTTATATTTTGTTTCTATTTCTTTCTAAAGCTTATATTACATTAATATATTTAAAAAGATAAAATTTAATTGGTGATATTGGTCTATAAGGCTTAAGTTTTGTCTTTGAAAAATGCACTAATCTCTAAAATTTAATACTTTATCTCAAGTAAAAGAAGTTTATTGAGTTTAAATTAAAATAATTTTATACAAAATTAATTTGAACATAATTTTTTTAACTTCATTATTTTTTTTCATTTATTGATTTTTTTATAAAAGTCCACACATTTTTATAGTTTTTAGTTTTTGCTTAAATGATAAATTAATTTCTAAGCTTTTCTTAATTTTTACTTTTTAAAAATAAAATTTTCTTGAATATTTAAAAAGTCAAAATGAAATTTGTGATGAGGGAGCTTCAGCCTTAGGTTCTGCTTTAGGAAAATGCAATAAAATATAAAATTTGTAACTTTTTCTTGAGTAATATCAGCTTTATTTTTTTACAAATATTTTAAAAAACTATGTTTATTTATTATTTTTATTTTTTGTATTAAAAACTTAATTTAGCACATTTTTAAATTTATTTTCAGCATTTGCTTTGATATTAATTTTTAATTTTTTTCATTTTTCCTTCTAACTAATTTATTATGTTAAATTTAATTAGATCCAATTAAATTTGCGATGAGGGTGCAATAAACTTAGGTTCTGGTTTGGCAAAATGCTGCAATATCTAAAATTTAACACTCAATCTAAGGTAATAATAACTTATTTTTTTGAATGTAATATTTATTAATTTTAATATTAATTGAAAATAATTAACCTATATTCATTTATTTATTACATTTAAAATTGATTTCTTTGTATTTTTTTCTTCTTATTAATTGTAAATATCTTCTTGGATTACTTAAAAAGCTATAATTAAATTGAATATGAAGGCCCATCAGGTTTAGGTTCTGGTTTGGCAAAATGCTACAATATGTAGAATTTAACACTCAATCTAAGGTAATAATAACTAATTTTTTTAATATAATATTTCTTAAATTAAAATTAATTGAAAACAATTAACAGATATTTATTTATTTATTAGCTTTAGAATTGATTTCTTTGCATTTTTTTATTTTTTTTCTTCTTATTAATTGTAAATATCTTCTTGGATTACTTTTAAGAGAATTTACAATCGGGGCTTTTTTAGATCAGTAGGCAGATAAAAACCTCTCTGCCTACTATTTTTTCGCCTTCCAAGTATTTTCCTTGGAGGGCTACTTTTTAGACTTTTTTAAAAACAATTTTTAACAAATTTTTAAAAAAAAAAATTTGCAAAAAATATTAAAAATTTTAATTTTATTATTTGTAAAAATATGGTATACGAAACTCTCTTTTTGTATGGAAATTTACTCTAATTATATTTTTTTGAATATTATAAAGTGGAAATTTGATTGGAGATGAAGGTGTATCATTATTAGGTTCTGCTTTAAAAAATTGCACTAATCTCTGTAATTTCAAACTTAATATCTCGTAAAAAATAATTTATTTGTTTTTGCTTATGAATTATTTTAAATAAAAATCATTTAAAATAATGGAAAATTAAATATTTATTTATATATCAGCTTTTGATTTAAAATATTTGTTTTATATTTCTTTTTTAATGCTATTTCATTCATTGATTTTTCCATCTAACTAATTAGTATATTTTTATTTAAAAAGTAGTATTTAATTTGGGGAATAGGGTGGTTTAGGCTTAGGTTCTGGTTTAGCAAATTGCATTAATCTCAAAGATTTGGAACTTAATCTTCGGTAATTATAATTTGTTTATTTTTGATTTATATATTTTTTATTGTAAATATTAATTTAATATAATAAAAATTTTTTATATATCCGAATGTTATTTTAATTATTTTTGATCCTTATTCTTTTACTTCTTAAAACAAAAACTAACTTTCTTTAATTTTTATTATTCGTGAATTTCTTTTTTTATTTATTTTTAGATTCAATTAATGCTTTCTTTTATTTAAAAAGATTGTGCTATATTGGTGACGAGGGTGCTTCAGCATTATGTTCCAGTATGGCAAAGTGCTCTAACATATCAACCTTATTACTTGATCTTTCGTAAGAAGAGTTTTTTTATGTTAGGTTTTGAAATTTCTAATTTTAAAAAGGAGTTAAAAAAGAGCAAAAAGAATACTCACTCATCAAGTCAAATTAGTTAAAAATTTAGATTTGACGCTATTTTTTAAAATCATACATTTTAAGAAGGAAAAAATTTTTTTTATTTTAAAAAATTTAAAATCCAATCCACTATAATTGTAAATAAATCAAAATATTCATTTAATAAGTTTGATGAGACTTCATTATTTGATGAATAAATTTTTATTAATTGAAGTCTGAAAATTATTTTTAGGTTATAAGCTCTGATTAATAAAATAAAACACTCCTCATTATTATGCTTTGCTTTTTATATAGTGTTTTTATTTTTTGAAAGCTATCTCGTTAATTTATTATATTTAAAATAATTTTTTTTGATATTGAATTTATGATTAAATAATTATTTTTAAATAATTTTATTATCTTTTTTTTTGCTTTAAGTAGTTATGTTTTTAAAAATATTTATAAGATATAATAAAATTGGTGCATAAGGAGCATCAGGATTAGGTCATATAGCAAGTTGCACTTAAAAATTGATACTTTATCTTTCGTAAAAATAGTTTATTTAATTTTTAATCTATGATATGTTTTAATATAAAATATAAAACTATATTAGTTTATTATTTGAACTCAATCTTTTTTTAGTTTTTACTTATTCAACAATAACTAATATCTTTATTTTTCATTTTTCTCTTTATATTTATTTATTGAATATTTAAATAGTGGTAATTAAATTGATGCATAAGGTGCATCAAACTTATTTCCTGATTTGAAAAAGTACACTAATCTTTTAGAGTTGAATCTTGATCTTTCGTAAAAACCTTTAATTTTTTAATTAAAATAAAGAGGATTAATTTAAAACAGCAAAACCATTTTTATTTATAAATTTGTTTCTTTTGTTTTTTAATTTTGTGATTTAATTTATCTTTTTATTTTTTTATTAATTTAAAAATTTTATTTTGATAATAAATGCATTAATTAATTTTTCATTTTTTCTTAAATATTAATATTTTATTAAATCTATAAAAAGGGATAATTAGATTGGCGATCAGGGTACATAAGGCTTAGGTTCTGCTCTAGCAAACTGCAGTAGCATAACAAAAATAAATATTTTTTTAAGGTAACAATTTATTGACTTTAGATTATGAATTTTTTTAATGGAAAATTAATTTAAAGAAATAAAATTTTATTTATATTTTAGCTTTTTATTTAATTTATTTGGTAGTTGAGTTATTAATTAAGTAAGTAAGTATATTTCTCTATTCAACTAATTTTTTATTTCTTGTGTGGAATATTAATTTTTATTTTTTCTTCATTTTTAATATTTAACTCATTATAATTTCTTCAATATTAAAATAGGAATAGTTAAATTGGTGGATAATGTGCATCTGCACTGGGTTTTGGTTTAGGAAGTTGCATTAATCTCTAAAATTTATATCTCCAATTTTTGTAAAAATAGCTTATTTTTTTATTATTTAAATATTTTTAATTAAAATTAATATAAAAAATACGAATTTACTTATTAAATTATAGTTTGATTATTAATTTATATTTTTTTAAAGTTTAATTCTTAATTTAGCTAATTTATGCTTTTAACATTTCTTATAATAAATATTTTTTACCATATTTATCTATCATTAATTAATTATGTTTAGATAATTACAATTTTAAATTATTTAAATAGTTAGAACTAAATTGATGATTAGGGTGCAGCAAGCTTAGGTTCTAGTTTAGCAAATTGTATTAATCTCTCAATATTGGGTCTTGATCTTAGGTAAATATAGTTTATTTATTAATATAAATTCTCATAAATGAAAATTTTAACCCTCCCAATAAAATTTTTAAGTTTTACTTCCTAATAAAGTTATTTTTGATATTTTGTGTTAATATATTTGAGGGAAGTAAAAGAGAACTTACAGTATGTAGGATTTTTTACATAAAAATTGAATGAAAATGATAAAATCTTATTTATCGTACTTCTTTTTTCATTAATTAATTAATTTATTCGTTTATTATGTAAATAATTTTTTTAAAATAGATTTTTTTTAACTTTTAAATTTTTCGGAAATTATCATATTATTTTTCTTTCCTTCTATTGATTTATTTTCTTGTATATTTCAAAAGAAAAAATTAAATTTTCAGTGCAGGTTTATCAGGCTTAGGCTTAGGCTTAGTTAAGTGTGTAAAATTATCAAAATTGACAATAAATCTAAGGTTAGAAATATTATTTTTTTTAAGTTGTGGTATTTTGTTGAAAATATATTTATTAACTTTTCTATGTATTTATTTTTATTAACTCGACTCAATCTTTTAATTTTATTTTAAAATATTATTTCTTTTTTTATTTTCATTTCATAAATATATTTTATATAACATTTATACAGATATAGTTTAATTAATGATGATGGTGCGTTAGCCTTGGCTTCTGCTTTTGCAAGTGACAATAAAATAAAGATTTTAAACATTTTTATGGAGTAAAAGAAGCTTTTTTTGTTTTCTATTTTAAAGATTTTTATTATAATAATGAACAATAAATTTTATTTAATTATTATATTTTATTTGATTTACTTCTTTTTAATTTAATCAATTTTAAATTATTAATAAATATACTCATACTCATAATTTTAAGCTTATTTCTTGAATTATTAATTTTTTGATTTATACATTAAATATTAGTCATAATGATATCAGTGATCCACTAAAATTGAAAATAAAGAATAAATATCTTAAATCAAAAAGATTAATTGACGAAAATATAATTTTGTGAGTCATTTGATATTTTTGTTATTCATTTTTTTATGTTTTTGAGAATAAAATGTATTATTGACTTATTTAAATCTAAAATTATTAAAAAAAGAAATCTAATTATTAAAAAATAATTTTTAAATATTAATTTATATTATTTTTTATTTGAAAGATAAAAGTTGAACCTTAAAAAATTTAAATAATTAATATTTTAAGACCTATTTTAATAACTAAACATATAAATATCCATCTTATATTCCATGAAAATGTTTACTTATTAAAAATGCAAATTTAAAATAATTGGGAAATTGTGATTTTTATTTATTATTTGCTCATAAAATTATGAATTTGATTGTTGTTTTTCTTTTATATTTTAATTAAAAATATTTTTATAAAAAATTCAATTTAAGATTTTCTTATTTAAGTAATTAAATAATATAATAAAATTTAAATAAAATATAAATGTACGAAATTAAATATAGAAATTGTGATATATTTTAAAAACAATATCTAATCTTACTGAAAATTTAATTTTTTCACTATAGAAGCAATTTTAAAAATTCATTTTATTTTTTGTTGAAAATACTCCTAAAAATTATTTATTAACAAGAATTACACTTTCATAGGCAGTTCAATGATCAACCTTATGTGTTTTTACGATTTATAAATCTAGCTCAGCCAAAAGGTTAATAAAACTAAATAGCTTACACTCATTAAAGCTATGATTATTTATGATGACTATTTATCAGCCAATTTAAAATACTTGTTTTAAAGCCTTCTTTAAAAGTGCTTTTTTCAAAAAATTAGCATATGTTTAAATAATAAAATATAAATTCAAAAAAAAGAACATAAATCATTCATTAATTTATAAATAAATTTGTAAAGATAAAATTAAAAAAATTAATTTTTTTTATTAAATTTAAAATTAATAAACATAGTAAAAAATTTTTTTCTGGGAATTAATAAATAATATGCTAGTTTTGATTTTTAATAATTTTCATAGCAAGTATTAATTATTTTATTTAATTTTTATCAATAATTGAATATAAAATTAATTTTGATTTAGTTTTTTATTTCTTTTATATTTTAATTTTTCAATTTAAAAAAATAAAATAAGATGCAATCATATTATTTATGAATAAACTTTTAGGATATGTTAATATCTAAGAGATTATGCAAAACTTAGCTGCCTGCTCCTTACTTTTTTGTAAAAGATTATTTATTAGCTTTAAATGCAAATAAAAAATTTAAAGCTGTTTTTAAATTGATTGTTATTACAACTTAAAAATTTTTTTAGCTAGTTAATTAAAACAGAAACAAAGATATTATCTAAATCAACATTCTTTAATTGAAAAATATCAATAAAGTTAACTAATATAATTTTTTTTAGATAATTGAAAATTTAAGATAATGAGAAGCTGTTTATTTCAAGTTAAATAAAAAAAATGAAATATTTAGTTACTAGAAAATTAAAGTTTAGTTGACAAATAATAAACTATGAAAAAATGAAATGTCTAATATAATACATTTTTGTATATTTATCGTAATTGAATATAAAACCTTTTAAAACCTAAATTACCTTTTTAGTTTTAATTTTTGTAATTCTTAATTATAAATAAATTACTAATAAACAAAAATTAAAATAATTTTAGCTATTTATTTGTTAATGAAGTAATTTTTTTTTATTTAAATTTTCTAATTATTAGCTCATTTTTATTTTTAATCAAGTTTTGTTAATAATTATGTTTAGAAAATAGAAGAAAAATATAGAACCAGTTAATAAAATTCATAACAAAGCAAAATATTATCAATCTAAATTATTTGAAATCATAATAAAATGACATGAAGTATTTATAATCATTTAAAAGAGATTTATTTAAAAAATTTATTTTTAAAATTTAATAAAATAAATTAAGATAAATTTCATTAAATATTTTTTTTTTTAAAAGGATATTAGCTTTTTAAATTTTTATAAAAATTAATATTTTAGAATGTGTAAAAAAAAAAGGGAAAAACTCTTTGCATTTTTTATTAAACACAGATAATAAATTTAAGTTTTATTTAATTATAAAAATTAAAATAATTCAACTTTAAAAATAAAATGAATTTAAATTAAAATAAAAAAATTAAAAAATTAAAAAATAAATAATTGTTCGAATATTTAAATTGATTTATGTTTTAAAATGCAAACTTTTTAACACTTAGATGAAAAAAATACAGATAATAGCTATAATATCCATTAAATTTTTTTCAGCAATTAATATTACAGGTTGAGCTTGCTTTAATTTTGAATAATACTAGTCTTCAATTAAAGCAAGGTATTGAGAATAAACGGAGTCTATTAAAGGTGATAAGGTTATAATTTAAATTTTTGAGAAAATATTTTTAATTAAATAACAAAAGTCGTAGATCTGTTAATAAGTTAAAATTTAAATATTTTTTATATATGATCTTTTTAAAAAGTTGTAAATTGATCATTAACAAAATATCTAAAAAATATTTTTTTATAATAAATAAATTTACCAAAAATTGAAGGAGGTATCCCATCACCTAACATGCTAATAAATTCAACCAACATCAATACAATAAAATAGCTAATCTAAATAAAGTTTAAGATCAATTACAAATATAGTTAATATATTTGTTACTTTTAATGTTTACTTACTATAAATTTTATATAAATAATCCTTTATTTATCTATATAATGTCATTTAAAATGGATGTGGAAAGCTGTATGAGATTTCTAAAAAAATAAATGTAAAACAAGAAAATATAAGAAAAAGCATGTAAAAATTGCGTAAATTTAAAGGGCTTGTAAAATGACGAAGAAATGAGCTACGTCAATTTCATCATCCTTTACAATTAATACGTAATGTTATAAAGATTTTCCTTTCTTCTTGATTGAAGAGAAATTTAAAAAGAAAGTGCTTTTAATAAATCTAACAATAATTTAATTAAAATAAATAAAAACGATTCTAAACAGATACATCAATTAATAAATAAATAAGCGAACAGCAAATTAATAATGGATAGAATAGCAGAACTTAGCAGCTAAATTATTAGAGTAAATCACATTCATTTCTAGCATAATAAATATTTTTCCTTGCTTACCAACTCATTAAATTTATAAAATAGAACGATACCAACGGTTTCTAAGGAAACATCTTCGAATAAGTCTAATTAGCTCCTCCTGATCCAATTTTGGGTACCGCATTGGCTTACAAAGCTGACACTTCTAAGGACAAAATGAACTTGGGTGTTGGTGCTTACAGAGACGATAACGAAAAGCCTTATCCCTTTAAGGTAGTCCGTAAGGTTGAAAGCTAGATTGTCAATGATCATTCGATTGATAAGGTAAATAAATGTTTATTTTTCAGAGTACCTTCGATAAATTAAAGGCTTTTTACATATATTTCATGAAGTCTACTATTTAGGAGAACTCTTTTCTAATATGATCACAAAATTTCATTCTAAAATAATTTTTTATTTAAAAGGAATATCTTCCAATCGATGGTTTGGCTCAATTCAATGCTGCTGCTCAGTAACTCATCTTTGGCAAGGATAGCACTGCCGTTAAGGATGGAAGAGTACATTTTTTTATAACCTTCTGATCTTACTTTTATAAGATTTAAAAAATAATTAACTAAGAAATTTTTAATTTTTAAAGGTTATCACTTCTCAAGCTATTTCAGGAACAGGTGCATTGAGAATCGGTTTTGAATTCCTTGCTAAATTCTACAATCGTGAAGTCCTCGTTAGCAATCCTACCTGGGGTAATTCTTTTTTTATTTTTTTAATCCAGTTTTACATGCATAAAAATGCTCAAGTGGATTTAATTGGAGCAAAAATGAAGAAATGTTCAATTGAATTTTAAATAAATTAGGTAATCACCATGATATCATCAAGAGTTCTGGTTTGAACTTCAAGTAATATCGTTACTATAATCCTAAGAATATGTCTCTTGATTTCAATGGTATGTTCACTGATATCTCTATGGCTAAGCCAGGTAAAAATTAATTAAAATTTTTTATTCTACTGAATTACCAAACTAAAAATTCATAGACTAATACTTTTTTAAACTATAAAATAGGCTCTATCGTTTTGTTGCACGCTTGTGCTCATAACCCCACCGGTCTTGATTTGACTGAAGATCAATGGAAGAGACTTGCTGGTCTTTTCAAGTAAAATAAAATTTGAATTGCAAATTAAAAGCAAAGATTGGATGAATAAGTTAATAATAGTGGGAAAAGCAACAAAAAATAAATTAAAATAATAGGCTTTTATTAGTAAATTGCATCATTAGAAATAAAAAATAGAAAAAACTAGATTTAATTTAAATAAGCATTATTAATTAAAATTTTATTTTGTGCTGCGAGTAAAGTGATTCCTTCAAATTCTAAATTAATTACCTTACAAAAGCATATGTTTTACAATAAATTAATAAAGCTGTATTTATAAAAGAAAAAATCTTTCTTACACATCAAATCATTTACAATGGACACATGATAGAAGATAATATTAAACAATACATAGCAAAACCAAAATAATTAAATCATGTTTTGAAATTAATTATCATAATCTTAAATATAAACACCATTAATTTAATCAAGAAGCCTCAAAAGCAATTTTCATTTTAAAGACTTTATCCTACTTAAAATATAAAAACTATTTAATAAAATTAATGACTCACTTTATCATATTAATTGTTATTTTTATATGCAATATATAGGTAAAACAGATTATTCCCCTTCTTCGATTCTGCTTACCAAGGTTTCGCTACAGGTGACTTAAACAGAGATGCTTACTCTATCAGATTATTCACTGAATTAGGATTCTAACTCATAGTTACTCAATCTTTTGCTAAGAATATGGGTTTATACAGTGACAGAATTGGTGCTTTCCACTTGGTTTGTGCCAACAAAGAAACTGCTGCAAAATGCTTATCTCAATTAAAGTTGGTTATTAGACCTATGTACTCCAATCCTCCTGCTCACGGAGCTAGAATCGCTACCAAGATCTTGACTGATCCTACTTTATATAATGAATGGATGGAAGAATTATCCATGGTATCAAGGAGAATTATTGATATGAGAACTGCCTTAAAGAACGAACTCGTTAGATTAGAAGTTCCTGGAAACTGGAATCACATTGTTACCCAAATCGGTATGTTCAGCTATACTGGTCTTACCCCCGAGCAAGTTGAAATCCTTATTAACAAATACCACATCTATCTCTTAAAGAATGGTAGAATTTCTATGGTAAATAAATTACTTTCTTAAAATATGTCAAAATTAATAAATAATTTTTAAAAAATAGTGCGGTATTACAACCAAGAATGTTGGTTACTTAGCTGCTGCTATCAAGGATGCTGTCCTTTCAACTCAAAAGAAATGAAGTAATAAACCAATCAACCCACCCTAGTTTAAATAAAAAAAGATGTTAAAAATCAGATAATATAATTTATAATAAAATACTATTTGAATCGTTTTTATATTAAATCATAAATACTCTCTGGCTGTATTTTGTAATAAATAAAACAAATAATCTAGATTTTTTTAATTTTAAGAAATTATAATTAATTATTGCATATTTAATAATAATATATGTTATTATTTGCTTTTTATTTTGTTTAAAAATATTGAGCTTATTATGTACCATACTTATATTCTTTAATTATTATTTTTGATAGGACTCGTTAGGTATTTTTTGTTAGTTTATAAGAATTACCTGATCTTTGGTTAGTTAGTTAGTTATTTATTAATTTACAAAGATTTATTTTTTTTTTTTCCATATAATAGATAACTCAAATATCATCTTAAAAAAATAAATTAAAGCATTAGCTAAATTTCAAAACAAAATATTTTATAATAGAAATAAATAGTATAAAATTAGAAATTTGTACGCTAGAACTCCTATTTCATAATATATAATTTTTTTGGAAAAATAATATTATCACCAAAAGGAGATCAAAGTATTAAAATATCATTAAAAAAAATCTTAATTTATCATAATTTTCATTAATTTTTTTTAATTTAAGTCAAAACGAATATATAAATAATTTGCTGCTAATTTGATTATGAAGATTTAATAATTTAAATGTTTCTAAAGAAATTTGTTAGATGGAATCATATGAATGATCAAGGAGCTTTGAGTATAAAACAGTAGTACTTTTGTTAATTAAATTTTAGCTAGAATAAATATTAATATAAATAAATTTTTTGTTAGAGGTAATCATTTTAGTGATCATGTAGTTAGTTTATGATATTGAAAATCTTTTACAAAGAGTCAAATTATTACTCTAAGTTATAAAGGAAGATAGAAAAAAATATATATAGAGAATAATTTAGATGAATTGTGATAAAGACAAAGTTTTTGTGGAATAAAAGGTTCTGAATAAATCTGTTTTAATGAAATTTTCTTTTTTAATTAGCTTTACTGATTTTGAAATTATGAAGTGGTAAATACGTTCTAACCTCTTCAATATTTGATTAAGCTAATTAATACAGATATTTCAAATAAAGTAACCCCCACTTTTTAAAAAATTTTGATTTTTCATTAAAATATGCAAAATACATGAAAAAAAAAAATACAAGGGTTACTTTATATTCAAAAATCTGTACGATACTAAAATTATTCTTATAATTAATTAAATTACATAAAAATCTTAATATATTCAAATGATTTTTCTTATTTATATAAGCTTAGGTATAATAGCTTCAATAATTGCTTTTGTATCATACATCCTTATTTTATATCCTATTTTCCGCTTTTCTCAAATGAAGCGAAAATATGGTGATAAAGTTAAAGTCTTCTTTAGCATTGGACAAGGAATACTTAAGTTTTACAACCAAGATCTAGCTAATAAAAATGATAGCATTGCTTTTATCCGTAATATGCATGAACCTAATTTAAAAGCCATTGCTTTTAACTTTGGAACAAAAGTAGGATTTAGCTTTGTAGACCCTGAGCTCTAAAAGCAGGTACTTTAAAATCCTCACTCTTATAGTAAAGTCGATGGACCTATGGCAATCACATTTTTATTTGCTAATTCAATCGCTTACGCAACAGAGAAAGAATGGAAAAGACAAAGATTGTTCTTAGGAAAGTCCTTTCACTTTGAAGAAATAAAAAACTACTTTCCTTTGATCATAGAAACTTGTCAAAAAACGATAAAAAAAATAGACTAAAAATTGATTGAGAGAGAAACAATAAATATTTAAATTTTAAAGACTTGCCAAGAAATTACTTCAGAAGTGTCTTTTAAGGTTTTTTTTGGCTCAAATAATGAAAATTTAACAATTATTACTAGGAAAGATGGAAGCTCAACTACCATTTCTAATGAACTTGTTTAAGTTCTCATTGATTCATATTATTTATTCTAAACTGATAAAGTAGCACTAATTAAATGGATTTTGCTTAAAAGAAAAAGTACTAGCTTTTTCCTTACAAAAGGAGAAGAATAGCTGTTGAATCGTTTGAAAGCTTTAAGATAAGCATGCACAGCTATTGTTTCAAAGAGGAAGGAGGAGCTTACCTAAGATAGACTTTTAGCAAAGAAAAACTTCTTAGATTAGTATATAATTGAAATGGCTTAAAACGAAAACAGTGGTATCACGTATGATGAAATAATTGATAATTTTTCTGCAATTTACTTAGCAGGTACAGACACAACTAGTAATATGGCTGGAGTTGCTTTATATTATCTCTCCCTTTATCCAGAAATTTAGTAACAAGCAAGAGAGGAAGTTATTAAAGTGCTCTCAGTTAAATTAAAGGAGAATAAAACTGACTAACTCTTCAGTTTATTAGCTTTTGAAGATCTCCAAAATTTAAATTTGATAAATTCTATTTTGAAAGAATCTTTAAGATTAATGCCCCCAGCTATATAATCATAGACAAAGTTTGCTAATCAAGATATAAAAATTGGGGAATTTGATGTTAAAAAAGGGGATTTAGTTACTAATCATTTTTCTTATAATTTATCAAATCCTGAAGTATTCCCTAACCCAGATGTCTTTAATCCTAATAGATGGATGGCTGCAAATATGTAAATTTTTTTATTTCATTTTAAAGTATTAAAGTATTCATTTTATATAAATAGTCACAACGAAATGGCAAACTTTACTCCCTTTTCATAAGGGCCAAGGAATTGCATTGGTTAACATCTTGCGATGATAGAAGGAAAGTGCATTCTAGCTTCCCTTTTATTGTAATATGAAATACTGCCAAACCCAGCTGAAAAAGTAGTTAGGCAAATGAGGATAGTATATGGATTTTAGTATGATAATCTTGTTTATTTCAAAAAAATAAATGTTTGACTTAAATTAAAATAACAAATATAAAAATGGAAGAAAGATTTATATTAGTCACTTATTTTTTACTATTTTTAATTTATTAGTAAGCAGATATGTCTTTATTACTTGATTATTTTAGTAAAACTAACTATTTTTAATGTTTTGTTTTCAAATTTTATTGATTGAAGAATTTTGTCTATAAGATATTTCAGTTTACACTGTTTAGTATTTGAAACAATAGCTTGAACAAGTATTATTTAGATTTTTTATGGTTATAAATTATTGTTTTTTGCTTAAAATATACTTTTTTGATAAGTAATAATAAATCTAGCGTTTACATTTTCATACTTATTTATGACGTAGAAAATAAGCAACTCTTATCTTACAAATAATTAATAAGCAAACTAAATAAATAACGTAATAAGATATTTTAAGCACAAAAATGATATTTAATTTAATTTATAATTTACGTCATAATTTAATTCATGATTTGTTTCATTTGAGAAGAAAAAAATTACTACTTAATTATGTTTTATCTTGTTTTGTTCGTGAAATATTAATCTATTTCCTTTTTCTTTGAAAAAAAAACTTTAAGTATTTTAGATTAATATCTGCCCAAAAATATAAAGCTCGCAAAACAAAATAATGTTTACTTAGATTACAAATCCTCAAATAGCTAACAATCTTCAAGCTTTCATATCTTATCAACTAAAATAAATTTGCTATTTATCTATTTGTTAATATAATATGAGAAAAGCATAGCAATCTTAAATATTAAAAAAAAGCAATTACTTTTTAATTTTTCTATTAAAAATATTTTTAATAGTAAAATAAATCTTATTTATAATTACATAAAAAAATTGATTTTATTTTTCTTAAAATTTATTTAGATTTTCTTCAACATTTTTGATTATATTAATGCATGTTCATAAAGCTTTAATAATACAAAGCTGTCCATTTCTTAAGAAAATAATTAAATTATATTTATAATAAAAAGATTTATTTAATATCATATAATAAATGCAGACTTGTGTATATATTTTACAAAAGTCTTTATTTCGCAATAATTTGGTTTTAGTAGAAAAAAGAATTTTTTTCTTCAATTAGTAATTGATAAAAAGAATACATAGATTTTCAAGCAAAAATTCTAATTAATCACTCTCTCACTTTGTCTTATTTTTATTTTTAGTTGCTTATGTAATCTTAAAAAATTTTTTATATTTTTTATAATACAGAGAGAGAAAGAGCTTTTACCTTCTATTTTTTTATTTACTTTTAAATAATAAATTAAAAACTATTTTACTTCAACTTAAAATGCTATAAAACTAAATAAGCCCTAATTAACTAACTTAATAACTCAAAAATAAGTAATTAAGTGTTACTTAAAAACAAACAAATATCATGAAATAATATTTTTTCTTTAAAAAACATTTAAAAATTAAAATTAAATATGATATGTCTAACATATAAACTTACTTCTAAGATGAGTTTGCGTATTATTTGATTGTTTTTCTTTAATGCAAAAAAAGGAATTAATAAATCTTCAATAAAGATAATAAATAGTATTTTTTAATCTGACTATAGATTAATACAGTTTTACTAATCAGAAATAATAATTACTATTAAATCTGAATCTATTCATAAATTAATGCTATCTTCATAGTTTCTTTGATCAAGACCATTATTTTTAAATTGATTTTCTTTGAAATGTTTAAGAAGCTTACATTAGCGAATTTTTTTTAATTTAATTATTTTACTCAGATATGATACAAAAGGAGGAGCTAGTACTTGGTACTTTAAATTCTTTTGCCTTAGTTCGAATCACAGTGGACTTAATTATTTATCTTTTAATAAAATTGAATTAATTTTTAATATCTTTTGAAAGAAAGAACATTATAAATATTTTAAACTTTAATAAATAAATTTAAGAATTTACTTTTTGAATCTTTTTCCCTAATTATATTATTTTATTTATTTCATTTTTGAATACATTTTCAAAAAGTATTAATAATAAAAATATATTATTTTATTCTAGAAATTAAATAAATTTATATAATAGTATTTTATATATTTTTATGTATTTTGTATTAAGTTAATAATAATTTAAATAAATTTAAAAAATTCTGAGCATAATTTTTTTAATTTGTATTAATTTTATTTGAATCTATGCACTATTTAATATTAAATAAAGAATAATTAATTAATTGTAATTATAACTATTAATAATTGTCTTAAAAATTCATATAAAAATTATTTTAGTAATTATTTATAAAAATATAAAAGTTAAATTATTTAGTAATAAAATACAAAAATTTTCATGGATGGTAAACTTTACAAAATAATTTACATTTCAAAACAATAAATAATTATTTTAGAATGGGAATTATTTATTATTGTATTAATTTGATATT